AGTAAATGAATAAATTCATTTATTAAAATCTTCATTTAGGAGATAAATTTTTGACGCAATAAGAAAAAATACCTATTGATAATTCAAATGTTTTTTCTATTTTTATGTTTCTGGAAGGTAGAAAAAAACGTTTAAGAAATAAAAGGTAAAAATGTTTAATGAACCTAAAATATTAATAATTGGAGCTGGAGCTGCTGGAATTTCAGCTGCTAAGAGATTATTAGAAAAAGGTTTACAAAATATTACTATACTTGAAGCTGGTGATCGTATTGGTGGTAGAATACATACAGTAGAATTTGGTAATTATTCTTTTCATGATACTTTATTTAATATTATTTAGAAAGATAATGTATATGAATATTTGTTTAATTTAGCGGACAATGTGGTGGAATTAGGTGCTCAATGGGTACATGGAGAAAGAGGAAATGTAGTTTTTAATCTTGCTTTTCCACATAAATTGCTTGATTCTTCTAAAATATTACATGATTTTAATAAACAAATATTTGTAACTCCTAAAGGTAAAATAATCCCACAAGAACGTAGTATTGAATCATTGAAGGCATACTATGATATTTCTGATCGTTCAATGGAAGATTTAAAAAATGCCATAGGATCGTACGGAGAATATTTTTGTAATGAGTAAGAAGGAAATTACATTAATGAACATTTTGATAATAAATTATATACATAGAAAAAAGAGAAATAAAAAATGGTATTTGCTTTAGATTTTATAAAATTATGAAAGAAAAATCCTTTACCGATAAAGAGGAAGCAGAATTATTTCTGGATTGGTTCCATAAATTCGATAACTCCATTCAATGTAGTGATACATGGTTTGATGTTTCTGCCAAAGGTATTACAGAATATTGGCAATGTGAAGGTGACTCTTTACTTAACTGGAAAACACATGGTTACAAAACGTTATTTGATTTATTATTGGTTTGTAAAACATGTAATAACATATATTAGAAAACATATGCGTATTATAGTTTTTACTTTTTTAATATTAATATTTTTTATTTTAATTTTTTTGTTATCAGAACAAAATCCCAGATTCCAAGGAAACATTAATGATAACAGAAAAAATTAAATTTAATAAAGAAGTATTTCTTATTGATTATACATCTACTAATAATGTGATTGTTAAAGTTAAAGATGGATCTAAATATAATGCTTCTCATGTTATATTCACAGCATCTTTAGGAGTCCTAAAGGAAAAACATTCTATGATGTTTTTACCTTCATTGTCTGAAAGAAAACAACGTGCCATAAAGGTAATTTGAGTAAAATTGTAAGAAAAAATTGTTAATAGTTATATTTAATAAAATATTTATATATACACAGGGTTTGAGTATTGGAACTGTAAATAAAGTTTTTCTAGAATTTCCATATATATGGTGGAAAGAAGAATGTGCTGGTTTTAGTTTAGCTTGGACCAAAGAAGATAAAATACAGTTTCTTGAATCTCATGGTCAAGTATGATATTCATATATTTTTCTATATTATTAGCTATGTAATGAATTCAAATTTGTATAAATTGAAATAAAAAATTCTTATTTTTTATAGGACAATGCATGGCTATGTGATGTATTTACATTTTTTACAGTAGACTATCAGCCTAGAGTTTTATGTGCCTGGGTTGTAAGACGAGGTGCAAAATATATTGAAACACTATCTGATATAGATATTATCGAAGGATTATATTTATTGTTAGAAACATTTCTTGGAAAATCTCATAATATTCCAAGACCAGATCATATGATAAGGTAAAAAATCATTTATATCTGTACATATTTATTAAAATATTTTTCACATTTATTTTTAATTTACAGATCAAATTGGTATACAAATAGTAATTTTCGTGGGTGTTATACCTTTCAAAGCATGATGTCTGAAAAACTAAATGTACGACCAAAAGATCTTGCTGAACCAATAATGTCTTCTGATAATAAACCTGTACGTAAATGTATTGAAAATAATTTTATATTTTTATTAAATATATATTTTAATTAGTTCTCTTTATGATATTTCAGCTAATACTCTTTGCTGGAGAAGCGACTCATGATCATTACTATTCTACTGTTCATGGAGCTGTTGAATCTGGATTCCGTGAAGCAGATAGATTATTGCAATACCAAAGGTGAGAACAAATTTCATTAATCATTATTTATGTTTGAAATCTTATTAATACATTACATTATTACATTATGGTTTAAAATATGATTGAATGCTCCGCTGAATTTTTTCAAATCTTATCTATGACTCAAATTATTTGTTTAAGTGCATTACTTATTTTCTTTTAAATATTTCATTTCAATTGCTCAAGTTTATCAAAAATAAATATTAATAATTAATCCGTGTTTGCGCAATAAGCATTTAGTAAAGCTGGAATACACCAAAAGCTTTATATATGATTCATATAAGTCAAATAGCACGAATGAACATCATACGGTATTATAATAATTAATGTATTCTATTTTTATTGATTGGCATGCTTTTTCATAGGCAATTAGATTCTCATCTTTAACCAAAAACCACGTTCTTCCTAATGAATGGATTATGGTAAACTCTGGACGTATCTTTGTCTTTCCAATAAAGTAGAAACTGCCACATAACAAGTATATATATGCGGATAATAAATCATAGTATTAATCATATTGCTTGGTGCTTACAATATTTACTGTATATTATAGTAATAATGCACATATTTTATAATATATTTAACAAAGTTATATATATATATTATATATATATATTGTCTTTTGCTGCTTACATTAATAGATATATATTACTTCCCAGAAAAGCGATATCTTATGAGATACTATATCAAATATATATAAATATATATATATATATATATATATATATGTATATACATATATGTATATGTATATATATATGTATATATATATATATATATATATATATATATGTGTATATGTATATGCTTTTTATTATAATTTATTAGTAATTATATATTTCTCAATCAATAAATAGAGGTAATTATTGTGAAAGTTATTATATTAGAACAGATATTATATTGAGTAAAAAACAAATTAATAACAAGTATTGTCAAAAGTTTGATATGATGATTTAATTACAATACAAATAGAGCTCACTGTTATATGGGTTATGTAGAATACATGGTTGGTTAAGGCAAACAATAAACGACTTCGAAAAAATAAGAAAAATACAAACCATGAAGATACAACCGATAGGTAAACCAGAAGTTGTAATAATTGGAGCAGGCATTGCTGGGCTAGCAGCAGCAAAAGCTTTAGAAGATGCCAATTTTAAAAATTATCTTTTATTAGAAGGTGAGCACTTTCACTGCAAGGAAATTTAATAAAGATGAAAATTAATCATATTTTATAATAATTAAACAGCTCAAGAACAAATTGGTGGACGGATACAATCAACATCATGGAATGAGAACTGGATTGAATATGGTGCACAATTTTTACATGGCGGCCAAAGTAAATTAGCAAAATTATGTAATGAAAAACAATTATTATCAAATATTCAATGTAAGGATGGAGAGGGAGTATTTTTATCTGAAAATGGGTTAGAAATTGATTTAAAGTTGGTGGAAGAAATTGATAACTTTGTACGTAATATATTAGAAGAATGTGAAAATCGTGAGAATCAAGAAATTCAAAATAATTTTGAAAATATTGGCAGAATTTTAAGAAGTCGTTTTAGAAATTATTTACAGCAATCAAATGATATAACCGAGATAAAAGATATTAAGAAAGGAATTTTTGATTGGATGACTAGATTTCTTATAATTGACAATTCTTGTTTCACATTAGATGAATTGTCTTTGAAAGGTTGGGGAAATTTCAAAGTAAGTATATAAGAAAACATATTCATTATAATTATATGATATTTCTATTATCAACTCTTTTTTAGTTTGTTGGTGGTCCAGAATACCTTTCATTTAAAACCGAATATAGTTCTATATTAAAACTTATTGCTGACAATTTAGATCCAAATAATTTATATTTAAATAGTGCTGTGGAAGTAATAGAATGGCAACAAAATATTAATATTAATGAATCAGAAAAATCAATTGTTTTAACACTGTCAGATGAAAGACAGATTTTTACAAAATGTGTTATAATTACATGTTCCCTTGGCCATCTGAAAGAAAATTATCAAAACATGTTTGTGCCTCCATTACCATTCAATTATACTTTAGGAATTGAATGTCTTGGATTTGGTTTAATAAATAAAATATTTCTTGATTTTGGTCATTCTTGGTGGAAGTCAGAAACTAAAGGATTTCAATTTATTTGGCATAAAAATAATATAAATGTATTTTCTGAAAAGTCCTTGGCTACGTGGACCAAAGATCTTACAGGTTTTGATGTTTTACAAAATCATCAGGGTGTACTCCTTGGTTGGGTTGGCGGACAAGGTGCTAGTATTATTGAAACATTGAGTGAAGAAGAAGTTGCAAATGATTGTTTGAATTTATTTAAGTATTTTCTTAAAGTTGATAATATACCTAAAGTGCAAAGATGTATTAGAACACAATGGAATGCAAACAAGTACATAAGAGGTAGTTACAGTCACATTTCAGTGAATTGTGATAGAAAAAAAATCACGCCAGGTACACTAGCAGAACCAATTTGGGGAACAATAACTCAGCAAAATTGTACTAAGGTAAATAATAAATGTTTAATTATTTTGACAGATAAATATATGACAATTCATAATATTATAAAATATATTCATTTTAATCATAGATTGTACCAGTGATAATGTTTGCTGGTGAAGGAACGCATGACAATTTTTATTCTACTACACATGGGGCTTATGAGACTGGATTAAATCAGGCACAAACTTTTTTACGTTATTATGTTAATTAATTTTAATTTTTTATACAAATTAATTGTGTTCATAATAATACGCATATATACAACATACATTGAGTAAATATCATCAAGTTTTAGTTTAGTTTTATATATGGAATATATTTTATATCAAATAGTATATTTATGTAAGTAATTTATTTATGAAGTTTTTCCATAAAGTTCTATAAGTCTATCTGCTTCCCTCCATCCTGATACAATTGCACCATGTACAGTTGAGTAATAACGTTTGCTTGTAGCTTCTCCAGCAAATAAAATTATCTGAAGAAAAAAATGGAAAAAAAAAGAAAGCGAAATTAAAAAAATAATATTTTCGTAATTATGAAAAAGTAGTAATTACGTACGGGAATTTGATTTTTTATTATAGGTTCTGAGAGCCCTTCTGCTGATGCATGTACTTTATCAGATTCAATACTATGAAAACTATAGGTCCCACGAAAATGTTTGTTTTGTGTCCATGCACTCCTAAAAAATCATGTTAATAAGAAATTGCATTAGATGAAAAAAACAAATATATTTATTACCTTATCATTGCACTAGGTTTTGTAATATTGTAATCTTTCCCCATAAAAGTATGTAACATATCCATGGAATGTTCAAGAACTTCATCATCGGAAAGTGTTTCCAAAATACGACATCCCTTTGGTGTTATCCAAGCAAGTAATAAAGAAGGTTTGTTTTCAACACTACTAAATGATGTTGTACTTGTAATCCATTTCTTATCAGAAATCTAAATAAATAAAATATGTATATAGCATTAAATATTATATATGGATTTTTAAAAATATTTGTACATACACCGTTTTCTAACTCATCTTTGTAGCTTTCATTAAACAATAAACTGAATGCCCAATTGAAGTTATAATCCCACCAAGGTTCATCAAATTGAAAAAATATTTTACATTCGGTACCATAAGCCAAACCCTACAAAAGAATTAAAGTTAGTTAATTATCAAATAATTGATAATAAATTAATGATTATTTCGAATGTTATTAATTAAAATATATAATCTAATACAAATTATAAAAGACAGACATCTTGTACCTTGATGTTTGTAATTTTTGATTCTGGTAAAGGCGGATTAAACAAAGATTGATAGTCTGCCTTCAAAACACCCAAAGATGGTGTCACTATGACATGATCCGCTAAATATTCTTGATTATTAAGAGTTCGAATTTTTACGATATCATTATTTCCTGTATAGTCAATATTAATTACTTCAGAGTTCAAAAGTGTATTGTTCAAAATTGGTAATTCTTTAGTTGCGTCTGGAAATTTTTTCTGAAAATTATACAATATATCTTCTTCTATATTATATATTATATGCACGTTATAAGATTTAATAAGAAATTATTTTATGGATATTCAAAAGTATATAAACCATTAGAATATTTAAAATAGTGCTATATCCTTTGTCCTTCCAATTAATAGAAAAATTTCCTTCACACATTTCATATTCTAATTCTGCTTTCATAGACGGTTCATACCATGTATCCGATGCAGAAAGTGAACATTCTACTAGATTATAAAATCTTAATAAATCATTTTGAAGAGTAGTATTTATTTCAGGATGATCTTTGAAATATTCTGCAAATCTAAAATACACCATAAATTTAAATAGTTAAACGTTGTTACGTGATGTTTAATTACTTAAAATAAATAAAAATGATAAAAAAAAAAAAAATATGCCTATAGGAAACGTATATCGAAAAAATACGATGTTAATATTATATACTTTTGTTCGTAATATTCGCCGACAGAAATATTTTTATAAGGTATGGTTATATTATAGAAAGCATTTTCAAAAATATCAATAGTATCTTTAAAAATCGTTTCGTCTATCTTGAAGCCTGCAGAATTATAGGGGGAAAATTTCCAATTAGTATGTTCCAATAAATCATAAGGCGCAGCAAGTTCATATACCACATTATTTAATTGTCCATGTACCCATTGCGCTCCAAGATCTATTAAATATTTACCTAAAAAAAGAGCAATAATAATAATAATTATTATTATTATTATTATTATTATTATTATTATTATTATTATTATTATTATTATTATTATTATTATTATTATTATTATTATTATTATTTCAATGTCTTATAGATATAAATAATGCCTGTTAATCCTATAGCATCACGTAAAAAGATTACATACCAAATTGAATAGTGTGAATACGTCCACCAATCCTATCTTGAGCTTCTAAGATTGAAATATTTTTAAATCCATTTTCATATAATTTAGAAGCTGCAGCTATACCAGAAGCACCAGCTCCGATAATAACGATCCGTGGTGAATTTTCCGAATTACTAATTACACAATTAAACGATAAAAAACAACAAATTATTAGTAAAAATATCATTTTGAAAATTCTATCGGAAATTGTATCGATTAAAAGAATTTTCTGTCTATTTGTTTAAATAACGATCGTTAACAAATATTACAGATCACTAATAATTATTAATAATTATAACAATATTCGTATTAATCAGAATAGTTTCGTACTATATTAAATAGAATCTTTTCGATCTTACGAGGAAGCTTTATAAACTAATTTTATCTGTTAAAATGATTTATCTCTGGTTAAAGAGCAAATAATTAGAAAAAGAGATTATTTGAAGTAATATAGATAAATTATGAATAATATAATGATGAAATATAAAACGTATAATAAATGATACTTAACGTTGAGTTATATAATAAATAATACTTAACGTTGAGTTACATTTATCCTACGTGCATTATTAGTTGCCTTTCCTAGGAGCTCATAAAATTAAGAATATAATAATAATAGAATAATTAAATGATACATTAATAATTAATACATTGTCAGATATTTATTTATTTATTATTATTATTATCATTTTTAATTTGATTTAATTAGTAACATTAAGTATGTTATACTTTTCTCATTATAATAGTCGATATGTAGATGCAATGTATTTGTGAGAAAATATGCAGTGACATCTGACGTTCGAAAAGAGAAAAAATCAAACTGAACATTTCTTGCAAGATGGCCGAATAAAAGAAAACAAATTATTAAGTTTATAATATTAATCTTTTTTATTCCTTTCGCATATTAAACATATGTATGGATATATCAAGGTACAAGAAAATGTTTGAGGGATCAGAATTAAAAAAAAAAAAAAAAAAAAGAAAAAAAAAGAAAAACAAATGACATTTTTATAGTGTGTAATAAAAATTTTGATACTTTTTTTTTTTTATTAAAACGTACATGATAAATAAATTTTTAATCGTCCTAGTTCGTCAGTTTATCTTTATATTAATTTTTTATAAATATAAAAGGTAAAGGATAAAAGAAGCTAAAGATACATAATTTCATTTATATATTCTTAGAGAAACTATTAAGAATATATATATATATATACACGCATGCACACAATAAAGACTTTCTATAAACATTCTATACATATATATCACTTAATAATCATTACACAATTGATTATTTATATATATATATATAATCGCATGCGTGTTTCTACACAGACACACACAAAATACAAGTAAATATAACAATAATATAAGATAAATCATCGAAGAAATAATTATTTTGGCATTGACACTTGACTTATTAACACATGTAAAGATTTTATTGATGTTCAATGGACATAGCAGTAGATTTTCCTTATTTCCAATGATGACATTTTCTTTGATACGTTGGAATTTTATCGTAATTTTTCTATTGTTTATTTTGGACAATCTATTGTTTATATCTTCCGAAAATGCAGGTGAATTATTTATTATTTTATATATATCAGTATTTAATCGTCCTACCAAAAAAAAAACATTTATGATCTGTATATTATTTTACCTGATTTATGCAACGACGTAAAAAAAAAAAAAAAAAAAAAAACAATAAATAAATAAATAAATAAATAAATAAATATAAGTCAATTCGCAAATCTATTACGGACGAGTTATATTAAGGAATTATGATATATCCGTAGGTTCTTCGAGCTGGTCGAACAAAAATGAAGAAATTGTAGATTATTACAGTAATCCATTCTTTACGAATGCTTCTTCACTTATTATATATTCTTACGGAAATACCAATGAGCACAATCCATATATTGTAAATGAAAGCAGTAATATTAATTCATTTCCTGCGATTGATTTTCAAAATCAAAGAGATATTAAGAAGAAAGAGATTTCAAATCTTCCTCAGGAACAACCTAAACCTTTCATAGTATCTCCAATAGGTTCATCTAGTAGATATAGTACTAGGACAAAGTCAGATATCAGTAAGTTTACTTAAAGAATGCTAGTTTATGATTTCATCCAATTAATAACTAAATACTATATTATAGAATGTGAAGAATATGGTAAACAATTTTTGGGTATATCAGAAGTACAATCTTTAGTTGGTATCAACACACAAGTGATTAGAGTAGAAAATGAACAGTGTACAACACCTGATCGGCTTATAACTGGTGGCACAATAGCAACACCTGGTGAATTTCCGCATATGGTTGCCTTAGGCAAAATATTAAGGAATGGATCTTTTATGCTTTACTGCGGTGCCACATTAATTTCACCTTCCTGGATTCTCACTGCTTCACATTGCACTTATGGACCAAAGTAGATTATTTTTCTTTCCTTGTAATCTAAAATGTTGTTATATAGAACAAATGAATATTATTAAATATTTTAATATTCATTATTTTATAACATTATTAATTATATATGATAATATTTTATCTTATAGCGGTAGTCCTACAGTTGCAAAGATTGGTATTCGTGATATAAAGGATGAGAAAACTGGAATTGTAATTGGAATTGAACAAATGATACGGCACCCATCTTATAATCCACCTGCAATGTATGCAGACATAGCACTTATTAAATTAAAGAGAACTGTTACTTTTAATACTTTAATTAAACCAGCATGTCTTTATCAGCTATATGACAATGTACCCATGAAAGTTTGGATTAGTGGCTGGGGTGTTACTGAATTTGGTAAGTTCAATCTATATTTAATATTTTCTTACTTTGGAATTAAATTTTATATGCTTTATATTAAAAGATTGTAAATTGTAATATTTTTAGGTGGTGAACAAAGTGAAAAATTGCAAAAGGCACAACTTGATATAATAGATAACATTGCATGTTCTATAAAACATAATAATTCCTTAGCAGTTCCATTTGGTGTAACACCTAGTATGATATGCGCGGGTGATCCTCATGGTGGATGGATTAAAGATGCTTGCCAAGGAGATTCAGGTGGACCTTTACAATTACCGCATCCCGTATATTCGTGTCTTTTCCAAATAATTGGAATTACTAGCTTTGGAGAAGGTTGTGCAGTCGTAAATTCACCTGGTGTGTATACAAGAGTTTCACATTACCTTAATTGGATAGAGGATATTGTCTGGCCAGAGAATTAGCAACTTTAATGAAGATATAATATCTTACAAAAGGTAAAAAATTTAATTTATTCAAATAACTATCAAATTATAGATGAATTACATTATTAATATCGTTACTTTCTTACTATTTCTTAATGGTATTATCTTTTTTTTTTTTTTATATTGGAAAAGAGCATGCTTTCATTGCAAAATTAAATATAATTATAAACAATGATATTTATATCTGTATTAGGAAATATATATATATATATATATATATATATATATATATATATATATATAAAAGGTATTGATTGTATGACAGGTGTTGAATATTTTATATATTTAAGTGCATGATATCAATTTCTCTATAATCATGCATTACAATTTGACTAGAATGTCATAAGTATAAGAATCATATGATACACACACAAGAAAAATATATAAAAGATAATTGTATAACATCTCTTAGAATTGTTTCAGTTTCAAACTCAAGATATTTTAATGTCGTGGATTGTTCTCCACATAAGACCATTTCCATATGGGCCGTGAGTTGAAGGAAAAAAAACATACCACCAACTTCTGCAAAAATTTAGGTGATATGTTAAATAAATAAACAGATAATATATATATATATAAATTCACAATTTTGTTTTATAATATAATATACAAGTTGGTAATGGTAATAAAAATTTATGTAAGATTACCTATCAACTATGCCTAAAAACAATTTCCAATTTTCCCTTGGTCCAAAATTATAAGGATTTTGATATGATTTTCCAATCGCTTTATATTTTTCTGTTTCAGTACTATTAATGCGTGCCTCAATGCTAGTTTCTCCTCTTGTAATAAGACCTGCATGCCACCAAGTTAATGCCCCAAGCGTTGTACATGTAGCTACACAAATTAATGCTGCATAAACTATAAGTCTGCGTCTCCATTCTTTTTCTTTGTTTTCAGCAACTTGCTTTGCAATTTCAGCTATTTCTTCTTGAGATAAATGATCTAATGATTCTGCCTAAAAGACATTTTTTGTTTGTTTGTAACTAATAATTTAATAATAATAAGAAAGTATAAAATATAATATAAACTTACCACAGGAATAATCTCAGAATTGTTAATGCGAACTGGATGACCATCTAGTTCAATTTCCTGTGCTGGAAAAAACTCTTGATATGCTATTTCTATTCCAAAGATCATAATGAATAAAATTCCCACCACGGTAAAAGCCATATATTGAAAAAAATATCTGTGATTATAATGACCAACACAGTTATTCAGCCATGCTATAAGTTTGTTTAAGAAATATATGAATTTTTTATGCAATCCTTTTTTTTTATTTTTTTGTTATTTTGCATCATATAAACACGTTAAATAAGCAAAAAGGATACGACAATGATGATCCATTTTAAGCACACATTTGTTACAAATAGAACAATGATGTGTTCTAGGAGGTTTTGGTTTAATACATTTTTTACAAATGCTCACAGCCTCTGGAATAAGACCACCTTGTGGTGGGTAACCTGCTGGTACATTTACACCCATGTAATAGTGGAAACATACGTTAATAAGAAGCCAATTTCCAATTAGTAATAAAAATATTGTCATAAATGGGCTCTTTTCCCACCAGTAAGGTAAGCCAATCCAATATGCAATACAAACGATGCTTGCTTTTAGTAAAGTTACCATTACTACGCATACCTAAAGGCTGTGAAGTTTAGTAAATATATTGCGAAAGCTAAATGGTATTAATAAAATTATGAAATTTGTACATTTTAATGATGTCTTTTGAAAAATATAAAATTGCAAAGAACTTACTGGTCCTAACCAGGCAGTAAAATTTTCCACAAACCAAAACATTGGTTCCATAAGTATATCACAAATATAGCTCCAATCCAAAAAGTCATTATAAAATAAAGATTTACATGTGATTTGTAAACGCCACCATTTTTTCTTAATACTTAGTCTTAAAAAGCAAAATAGTTATGGTTCATTAAATTTTTTAAATAAAAAGTGTTAATGTTACTTCAATAAATTACCTTATGTGCCTTGGTGCTTGTCTCAAAGACCATTGAAATCTAGCCATTTTCTAATACTAGTTCTTAATGATTAAAACTTGATAATAAAATATCATAAAATTACTACAAAACATTATTTAAATTTTCATTTCGATAAGGATAAATCATACATAGACTCCATTTTGTTAATATCATTTTAAATGTACAAAGTTATAAATCTTTTGGAATTTTAATATTTAAAGATTAAAATACTTCAATAAAATTTAATTATACTGAAGAAATAACAAATTTTCTGTTATACTCTTGGAAGTTCTAATCACGATCAACAAAGTAAAAGATTACCTATGATTATAATTCCATATTTAAAAAGTTAGATGGCGTATTGACCAATAATATTCTTTCTTTACATATATAATAATAATTCATAATATTACTTTAGAATAGTTATTTAAAATTGAAATATTAAAATATTTATATTTTTTACAAAGAGTTAATTTTTCTATATATTAACTTGTTAAAGCTGTTCATTAATCCTGCCTTTCTAATGGTTTAATTAGAAATAATGATCACAGGTGTAATTCTTGAACGTTTTTGATGAACAATCTCTCATTTTGTGAGGACACAATCCCTTTTTGAACTTTTGAACGAAGCTTTATTTTCTTTGAAAAAAAAAAAAATAATGTTAGAAAATAGTGTCTTTTTGAGAATAATTTATAGATAAAAATAATTTTCTATACAAGATATGGTTCTGTTATTATCGACTTGGTTGGAAGAAAATTGTTGAAGAAATTCGTCATAAATAGGAGAGATGGCAGCACTTGATTATGCCTGAAAACGTTCGAATGTCGCTAGTGTACTTTTCAGTTTGATTTCTACGTAAAGATTCGATGAATTTCCATTTAGAAGATTGGTATTATGTTGAGGTTATGTTTATTATAATCGGTCCTCTTTCGACCACATGTTATAACCTCTTTGATAGTTTTGTTTAATTTATGTTGTTACATCGTTAAAAATATTTGGAGTGGTTTAAAAATGGGTAAAAAGGGAAAGATCGGAAAACAAAGAAAAGATAAATATTATCAGTTAGCCAAGGAAACAGGTATGAACAATTTGATATATGTTGACTATAATTTATTTATTTCTATTTATAAAATCGATCTCTTTCTTTTTTTTCCTTTTTGAAATTTTTCTTTTATTCCTTTAGGTTACAGATCACGTGCTGCTTTCAAATTAATACAGCTTAATCGTAAATTTGAGTTTCTTCAAAAATCTCGAGTATGTATAGATTTATGTGCAGCACCTGGTGGATGGATGCAAGTGGCACGACAAAATATGCCAGTATCATCAATAGTTATTGGAATAGATTTGTTTCCAATAAAACCAATACCTGGTTGTATAAGTTTAGTCGAAGATATTACAACAGATAAATGTAGAGTGGCTATTACTCGTGAATTAAAAACTTGGAAGGCAGATGTTGTTTTAAACGATGGTGCACCTAACGTTGGAAAAAATTGGCTCCACGATGCATATCAACAAGCTGTTTTAACGTTGCACGCTGTTAAATTAGCTACACAATTTTTAAGACCAGGTGGATGGTTTGTTACTAAAGTATTCAGATCAAAAGATTATAATCCATTGATATGGGTATTTAAACAATTATTCAAAAAGGTAAATAATTCATATATGAATTTATCAATTTAATATAAATAAAATAAATTAATCCTATTGATATTTTCACAAGGTACATGCAACAAAACCACAAGCTTCTCGTAGCGAATCAGCTGAAATTTTTGTGATCTGTCAATATTATATTGCACCTGACAAAATAGATCCAAAATTTTTAGATTCAAAATATGTATTCTCTGAATTACAATTAGAGCCTACAAATAAATTGAATGTATTCCATCCGGAAAAACAGAAGAAACAAAAGGCCGAAGGTTATCCGGAAAATGATTATACGTTGTATCATTCGGTCTCTGTAAAAGATTTTATTAAATTTGAAAATGGAATAGACGCTTTGCAAAATACATCGGAAATTTTATTAGACGACGATGATATTGCGAATCACGAGAAAACAACGAAAGAGATTAAAGAATGTTGTAAAGATATTAAAGTACTTGGTAGGAAGGATTTGCGTTTATTACTTAATTGGTGGAAAGCTTTAAGGGAAATATTTGTCGAATCAAAATTAAAATCAAATGATATAACGGAAGAAACAACGGAGGAGAGTAAAAAATCTTTAACCATTGAAGAACAAGAAGATTTAGAGGATGAAGAAATTATGCAGGAAATAGAAAAGGTTCGTGAAGAGGAAGAAAAAGAATTGAAGCGAAAAAAGAAAAGGGTAAACAAAGAAAGGCAAAAATTAAACGAACGTTTAAATCTTAAAATGATTCACAAAGGTGATGAGGGACCTAAATTAGAAGGAGACGAGATGTTTAGTTTGACACAAATTAAAACCCATGAGGCATTGGTAAACGTAACCGATCAAAGTCCCGATATCGTAGCGGAGAGCGATCACGATTCTGACGAAGAACGTAAAGGAAAATCAAAAAAGATAATCTATGAAAAGGATAAAGGACATTTAGATAGTTCTGAATTATATTATAAGTCGGAGGATAGCGAGTTAGAAAAATCTGACGATGAAAGTACGGAGGATAGCGAGAAATCAGGATTAGGTATTAATAATCATTCATTTCTCATAAATAATATATTCAATGATTTTTAATTTTATTTATTATTATTTATGATAGGTTTTAGTTCGTCGGAAGACGAAGAAGATGAAAGTGCTAAGAAAAAGAATAATCGAAAAAATACTAAAAACGAAGACGAAGAGGAAACTAATCCTCTGATAACAGATCTTGATTATAGAGATAAAAAAACTAAGAGAATTCACAAAGCTCAGTTATGGTTTGAAAAGGATATATTTAAAAATTTGGAGGATGAAAAGGATGAGGACTTTGAATTGGATAAAATGATCGAGAATTATAAGGAAAAGGGTGGAAAAATTGTTGGAGAGGAGAAGGAGCAAATGGTGGAGAAAGAAGAAGATGATGATGATGATGATGATGATGATGATGATGATGATGATGATACTGACGCGGGATCAAATAGTGCGAGCGACGATACAGATTCTAATTACGATGTGGAGGAGATGATGGCGCCAAATAAAAAAGTCAAAAAGATAGGTGGTAAGGATGGATACGAAGTAGTGTCGAAAGAGAAAGCTAGTAAGTAAACGATTACTATTTATTAATTATACTTATCTAATATCTCGCGATTCTTATATGTATATATATATTTGTTTTCCTTGTATTTTATTTTTTAGATGAAAAATTAAAGAAGAGAAAATTATCGGTTCAAGATCTGGCATTGGGTTCTTTAATGATACAATCTAAGAAGGCTAGACGAGATTTGATCGACGGCGCTTGGAATAGATATGTCTTTAACGATACCAATTTGCCAGATTGGTTTGTACAGGATGAAGAAAAGCATATGAAAAAAGATGCTCCAGTACCGAAGGAACTCGTACAAGAATATGAAAAGAGAATAGAGGATTTGAATGTTAGACCGATCAAAAAGGTTTTAGAAGCTAAAGCGAGAAAAAAGAAACGTTCGATGCGTAAATTAGAGAAAGCAAAGAAAAAGGTCGAAGCTTTGATGGAAAGTACAGAAATAAGTGAACGTGAAAAAGCACGACAAGTTAAAGCGTAAGTATTATCAATGTAATATTGTATGTTTTATTTAGATCATGTATGTTATGTACATATATAAACTTTTCCTTCTTTTTTATTTATATGTATATATATATATATATATTTATTTATTTATTTATTTATTTATATAGCATATATAAGAAAGCTCATAAGGAGCCAAAGAAGGAAGTAACTTATGTAGTAGCGAAGAAACATACTTCTCAAAAAAGAGCAGTAAGGCCACCCGGAGTAAAAGGCAGATACAAAATAGTAGATCCTAGAATGAAGAAGGATTTGCGAGCGGCTAAGGCAAAGGAAAAGACAAAAGGACGAAGTAAAAAAAAGAGTCATGGCGGTGGTAAACCACCAAGAGGAAAGCCTAAAGTATCGAAAGGCAAGAAATTTAAATAATTTTATTCTTTAATGATTGTACCTTTTTTTATGCGACGTACGATGTAAATAGGAAAAAAAAGAAAAGAACGAAACGACAAAAAAAAAAAAAGAAGAAAGAAAAAAACGAAGTACTTCCAAAGTAATTAACCCAAACAAATAAGATATATAACAATGGTCGACGTGGATTCATTTGTAATGTACACTTTTTTTTCTTTTTGTTTTTTTTTTGAACGAGAAAAGTCATCGCCGTATAAAAGGACGGTCTTAAAATACGCTTGGAATTACGCAAAGCGTAATTTCAAAATAATATAGACGCACATTTCTTTTATATATATATATATATATATATATATATATATATATATATGTTCATATAGAAAATATATTTGCATATAAACGAGCGCGTGTCAACATATTACGTATATTACGTACGATATTCAAAATGTTTACTTTCATTCCGTATACCTACTTGACCTTATTTACGTTCTTTGACTTGATACAAGTAAGGTCAAATAAAATAAATTTCTTAATCTGTGGATTTTCGTTTAATAATTAATTAGATTTTTTTTTTTTAAATATTATATGATCGTGATTATCTCTGTTTTCGTTTCTATCCTGTTGAAATATATACCTATAAATATTTAATAAATTATTATACATACCTTAGGACCGATACTCCTGCCGGATAACCAACCATTCGGTTAAAATCCGACCTTGCTTTATTTCAGGCAACTCTCGTAAGTACGTATTCTATACGTATATAACGATTCTACGTAGACGTATAGGATCAACAACACATCTGTAGAATGTGTCACGTACAAGTCAGCCTATTTTTTTTTTCTTTTTCTCCTTTTCTCTCTCTCTCTCTCTTTTTTTTTTTTTTTTTTTTTTTTATTTTATTTTATTTCTTTCTCCGAAAATCCAAGGATACCCCCTTCTACGTGTTGATTTATTGCTTCTTCATTTGTTTTTTCGCGTTACGTTACATACGAGCTTTTTATATCGCACATATAATAGAACTTTAAAAACATGTTTGTTCGTTTATCCGTCCTAACGATATTCCGATCTAATGGCAATTCAAAGGAGGGAGAATCGAATTGCAATTAAAAATAATTAAATCGAGAGAAGGTAAATCGCTAAGTTATCC